ACATATTAATAAATTATTCGTTTTGATTTCTAATTAATCTATTAATGTTATAATTAATTATTAAATCAGTCTCTCTTTCCAAATAGCATTTCAGTCTCTTACTAGGTTTGAGGGCAACCCAAAATGACTTTGCTAATAATTTTAAGGTTATAATAATTTAGTTAATCACTTAGACACCTAATCCAACAAGATCATCAACATTGTCATACCAAGAAAAAGGGCACATATTTTAATATCCTTAATATAGAAACCAATCAAGTTAAATTCAACATAAATATAGTTTTCATTAGTAAATTGTAGAACATAAATAAAATTTTCACCATCTGTTGGAAATAATAATATTTTTAAGTAAAAGACAATCTTGAGAAAAAAGAAAAAAAAATTGTTTTCAGAGTAAAACTAACCGAACGTAAAGGATCATTACCAAACATAATAGATTTAGAAGTATCTCATGAGTTAAGTAAAACATTATTACATTTAAAATTCGCTGCGAACTTGCTCCAGAATCCATATAATAGTTTGTGTCTTGTGGTTGTTAAAAAGACATAAACTTGAATATAGAGGCAAGATCCATATGTTAGTGGTTGCCAAAATTAGTTTATGTGTGATCTATATGGGTGTGTTTGGGGATGATTTTGACCTTGAGAGAACTAATTTTAGCATTGTTGAATTGTCTAGGTTGGAACTGTATTGGGTCGAATGGGCCAGGTGGTAGCTAAACAGACCGAGCATGTTGGGGAGTTGCTTTTAGTGCGGTGCATAATCATTATTCGAGTGCTAACAGTTCAAAGACATGATTTTGGTAGGAGCCATAATACACATACATTATTTAATTGTCCCCAACTTGGATTACTTACAAAAGGATTAACATTGGAAGAAACACCAAAATTGACCCCTACCTTTTATAAACTCTCTGACCATTGATTTAGTTTTAGTTGACATGTTTTACTAGTTACTAGGTAGATTAGATGTTGTATAAAGGATTGTGATCAATTACAAAGTAGAATTAAATGTTTGGTTGGTTTCTTATTCTCATGCTTCATACAAAAGAAGCATATTGTTCGCTTCTAAAAAGGAATGGAAATGTTTAATATATGTGACGACGTCGACTATACTATGGCAGGAAGAATATGCATGACTGATTCCATTTCAATTATGGTAGAACCAACATTAGGAACTATATTGGCATGATTTTTCTAGAGAGTGACAAATCTTAGTAATAAACATCGTATCATTTTGGTATTACATAATTGATCTTGAAGTTGCAACACACACAATATTTTATTGTTGAGAAAAAATTTATCAAGTTTGTCCAAAAGGTCTTTGGCAGTGCAATTGTTAATAGATATGATTTGAAGGAGATTAGGGTCGCGTGTAAAAAAGAAGGATTCGGTACGAGAGTCAATTGCCTCACAATCCTCTTCATCATCATCATTGATAGTTGTAAATTTACCGGTAATGTGACCACTAATTTTGATACATTTGCACATATCAAGAAAAATACGACGCCACAATTTGTACTTAAAACCATTAAAATAAAGTTTAAAACTGAATTGGGTGTAGACATTGGTTATGGCATAAACAAGTTATGCATAACTATGAGGGTAAGACAAGTAAACGAAGAGAAGTTAGTCAACATCACAAGGTAAGGAGAGTCACATTGGGTAGATGGATTGTGTTGGATTAATCAAGCAACCCTTTGCGTAAAGAGTAGTAGAGATGATGTAGTTACGATTACAGATAATAGTACACAATGATCAACAGTGGTTATGAGTAGTATGTAACATACGAAGATTATTAGGAGAGTTGGAGGCAAGTGATGATTGTGATGTCAAAGGCAGCTAAAAAAATTGATATCACTTTTAATAGGGAAAATGCTTGTAATCGGTAAACAATTGTCATTTTTGTTCAAATTTGATCACTTTTTTTATATGTTTGATCAATAAACTTACCTAAATTAAGGGGTGTCAAATCGGGCTATCATATCATGTTTTTGTATGACGCGACACGACACGGTAAAGTTTGATGTAATACGAACACGAGAAGATATGATTTCGTGTTTATTTTAATTAACATGGGAACAAGTCGATTATAATTAACACGACAAACACTACACGATACGACACGACAAGAAAAAGATAACATTAGAACATTAATAGTTTATTTAATTATAATACTTAATCATATATAACATGGAAAACACAACAAACACATGCTTAATCGTTTAAATTTCGTGTTAAATTTTTAACACGCACACGACACTATACCACGTCGTGTTTTTTACACAAGACACAAACACAAATTCAAATTTCGATTTCGTACCAATTTTGTTCTGTCATACATTTTTGTCGTAGCGTGTCATTGATTGACACCCCTACCTAAATTGTTCAAAAAGTACCATTATAACAGGCAATTAAAGGTTACTTTAATTTCCAACGACTTCTGTAACGACCAATAAACTTGTGAGGGTTGAGAAGTTTTATAATTTTTTATACATTTAGTCATTTTTTATATATATTTGACCAATAAACTTATACTAATATCAAATTTGGCCATCAGAGTTACTTTAGTTTTTTCTAAAACACAAATGTCTTCGTACATATTTTTGCCAATGTCTTCCAACGTATATGTATCTTTTCTTTTTTAAAAATATTTTTCATTTTTCAAAAATTAGTGTTGTTTTCATAAATCAGTTATTAACGTTTTTTTAGGGAAAATGACGTATAGGCACTTAGCCACTTAACTTATTTTGTGGCTTAATGTTTCTAGGGTTGACCCATTTAGCCACTTAACTTATTTTGTGGCTTAATAAGGGAACGAATTACTCTTTGTCGGGTCGATTAAGTCCTTATTTCAATTTTGAAGGGGTTAGCCGGTCATTTTAAGTCCACCTCCTTCTACTAACACCACATCGGATGCTGACTGTGACTTTCGTCTAATGTCATGTCATTAATTAGTCGCCTCCTTCTTAATGTCGGTATATGCTTTATAAAAGAGCCCTTTTACATCCACTGTTCAACACTTCATCGGTAAACCCTTTTTTGTGAGCTGCTTCTGAATCCTCAAGCATGGAACCCGTATTCTTACAAGTAGATGTCCACTTCCAAGGAATGTTCGCCAGAAACCCCATACGCTACACCGATGGAATTACTCATAGGTTTTCGGACATCGATTTCGCAGGAATGGACAAGGATGGGTGTGTTGCGTTCATCGAAAGGTTCACTGGGGAAAAGTGTGAGAAGCTCTATTACTGCCAACCTGATATTGATTTTCCAAAAGGTTTGACTCTAATTTGCAATGACCCCGATTATTACGACTTCATAGCAATTGCATATGAATGTGGTGTTATACTCCCTATGTATGTAGACCATTTTGGGAATAGTAACATACAGGAATGGTTGGATGAACACAAAGACGAGTTTGTTTGTAACGTTGAGGAAGAAGTACTTGATGGTGCAGGACTGGTTAAGGAAGTTGCACCAGGGCATCGAGATGAGGGTGACACAAACGATGAGGAAGAGAATGGCGACGATGATGACGACAAGGATGAGGATGTCGATGGCGATGAGGATGACCATCAGAAGCCTCATTTTTTTTATAAAGGGTAATGAGATTCAGGTAGAGATGGGTGAGAAAGCAGGTGCAGGTGAGTTTTTCGAAGAAGACATGGGTGACAATGAAGATGTTTATCCCGAATTGCCAAACATTTTCAATGATAAGCTTAATTGGAAGGAGCAGGAACCTGTTTTAGGTATGAGGTTTGAGAGTCCTAAGCAATTGAAACACATGCTTTGTAACTATGCTGTCGCGAATGGTTATCAATTATGTTTTGTTAAGAATAATACTAGACGATTACTTGTCAAATGCTGTGATGGCAAATGTACTTTTAGGCTTTGGGGTTCTTGGATGAGCGAAGATAAGTCTTTCCAGATAAAATCTCTTATCGGTGAGCATAATTGTGCAAAGAATTTCAAATTCGGATCAATTGTGACTTACAAATGGATAGGGACCCACTTTAAGCACCAATTTTATAACAATCAAAAGATGAGCGTCCGAATGCTTAGAGAGGAGGTAAAAACCGATTTTGGGATTAATGTGAGTATGAGTCAGTGTAGGAGAGCCAAGAAGTATGCATTGACTCTAGTTGAAGGGACAATAGCTAAGAATTATGCAAGATTATTGTCATATGGTGAGGAGATTAGAAGATCAAATCCTAGATCCACAGTTAAAATTTGTGTTGATTCAATGCCTGATGGTAAGAATTACTTCAGCAAAATATACATATGTTTTGCTTCAGTAAAAGAGGGATGGAGGGGAGGATGTAGGAGGATCATTAACCTGGATGGTTGTTTTCTGAAAACATTTTGTCAAGGGGAGTTGGTTTGTGCTGTGGGTAGAGATGCTAACAATGGAATATTCCCGATTGCTTGGGCAGTGGTTTCTGTGGAAAACAAAGAGAATTGGAAATGGTTCTTAGAAACTCTTTCAGAAGATTTGCAATGTTGGAATGATGGTAATGGTTTGGTTCTAATTTCGGATCAACACAAGGTATGCTTCAAAACTACTGCATGTTCTAAATTTAGTTATTGCTATTCGAATTTCAAACATTAATGTGACTTATGTAGGGTTTGATTGAGGCAGTAAAGGAAGTATTTCCAGCAGCTGAACATAGGCAGTGTGCTAGACATATCTATGCAAATTTTAGAAAGAGATTTAGTGGATCCAAGTTTGAAAATCTGTTTTGGAAAGCGAGCAAGGCAACAACTGAAGCACAATTTAATGTAGTTATGAAAGAGATTGGAAAATTAAATCCGGAAGCAGTTGTGCATCTTATGGATAGAGATCCAAAGACTTGGTCTTTGGCTTTTTTCAGAGTTCATAATTCTTGTGAGTCAGTAGAGAATGGTTTTTTAGAGAGTTTTAATAATGTGATTTTGGATGCCCGGAAGAAACCAATAATAAGCACGTTAGAGGACATTCGTATATATGTGATGCAAAGGATGGTGACTATGAAACTAACCGGACAAGGATGGAATGCTTATTCTGTTTGTCCAAATATCAGAATACGGTTGAATATGCTCCAAACTGAGCAAAGGTTTGTACATTTATCCAATTACATTAGTACTTTACTCTTCACATCTCATGATATTTGCGGTTTTCATCTATATATGTAGGCATTGGCATGTCATTTCTTGTGGGGGGATGAAGTTTGAGGCAAGGAAAATGGACGAGGCGTTTACTGTGGATGTTGAAAAAAAGGAATTCAACTGCAGGCTATGGCAACTTAATGGATATGGCTGCGTACACTCAGTTGCCACCTTAGCCTACTTAAATTTGACACCTGATGGTCCATATGTAGATCCAATGTACTTGGTTGTATTATACCATAATACTTACAAACAACCAATCCATGGGATGAATGGAAAAAATATGTGGCCTTCTACTGACTTGATACCCCCTTTGCCTCCATTGAAAAGAAGTATGCCAGGCAGGCCAACCATAAAGAGAAGAAGAGATGCTTCTGAACGGATGGGAAAACATACCGTCTCCAAGGCAGGGAAGAAAGTTTCTTGTAGCATATGCAAGGAGAAAGGACACAACAAGGCTACTTGTAGTAAAGGTGTAGAGACATCCAAACAAAATGGAACAAAGAAACAAAAAACTATACCTACGCAGGAGTCTGTAAACGTTGACACAGGAGTAGGGGATGATGAGGTAATCGTAGATGCTACTGATGCTTTGGATAGGCTTGGAGATGAAGAGCGAATGGTAGGAGTCAATGGACGGGATGAAGGGGTGAATGTCAATGCTCGAGTTAAGCATGTTAAACCGCCTAAAATGCGAAAGAAGTCAGAACGAATCATTAAACTGAAGCTTGCAAAAAATATGGGAGGTGAAGGTAGCAGTGTTGCAACGGCCATGGAGTTGGATTAAATAATTGTTTGTTATTTGTAGTGAATGTGTGTTGCAGTAAACAAATGATCTTTGTATGTTCTTTTATGGTGTACTATGTTGTTTTGTTATGTGGTAAGTTGTTATATGGTATGTTATTGTTGTCACGTGCCACGAATATTTAGGAGTATTATGGGCATTTTAGCCATTACAAAGTAAATTGACCATTTATGATGTGGGGGCATTTGAGTTATTACAATTTAAATTTACCATTTTGGATGTGGGGGCATTTTAGTCATTAGAAATTAAATTTACCATTTTTGGATGTGGGGGCGTTTTAGTCATTACAAATTATATTGACCATTTTTGGATGTGGGGACATTTGAGTCATTACAAATTAAATTTACCATTTTGGATGTGGGGGCATTTTAGTCATTAGAAATTAAATTGACCATTTTGAATGTGGGGGTAATTAAGTCATTACAAAGTAAATTGACCATTTTTAATGCAGGGGTAATTAAGTCATTGTAAAAAACAGGGTACTTGTGACTTAATCCATTTAACATGAAAAGGCCATCTTTAGAAAACTTGATTCCCTTTTTTTTTTTCCAAAAAAGGTTTGCAGACAAGCAGATATGGTTCAATCGTGTGCAAAGGTATTTTTTGTCCCTTTTCCCAAACTGCACCATTTGTGGTCCCTGTCTATGCGCATAAAGAAGGTATATTCATTTTGCTTTGGCTTGTGGTCCCGTCCCAGTCGATGAAACATATATAATACCCAAATGTTTCTTTCTTTCATGCACACATACCGATACAGGTGTAAGACAATTTTTTTTTTTAATAATAACATATTAAAACACATTTCAGCCATGGGTTTGTTTACATCGCTTTCTGCTATTCAATAACCTATTACAGAGATCATCAACAAAAAACTTCATCAAAAAACGATGACCATCAGCAACCCATGCAACACCACCACCAAATCTACACACCAACATCACAAACTAATACCAGCAACCCACACAAAATCTACTACTAATATTGACACTAAACAACATAAATAACACACCAAAACACAAACCCAGGACTGAAATGCTTCAACCTACACAACATTTTTTTACTTAAACACCAAATACGTCACCACAAACGCAGAAACAACACCAACAATCCCAACACAATACATCAGCTTCTTACGTTTGTTGTCCTTGAAGACCATCTTCACATATGCTCCTTGCAAAGAAACGAAATGATTTTTAAGATCAGCAACCATATTTGAGACATCCAACTGACCAGCGCGAACGTCATCGACCTCAATGTTCATGGCATCTAAGTGTCGATTAACTGCCTGACGGAGCTCATACAACTGGTCTTGGAAGTCCTCCCATATAAGAGACAATTCCAGCTGGGTTTGCAGTAGATTGATGGCCATGTCTTCGTTGGTTACACCATTCGAATGATTCTCATCCATGTGACGACGGTAATTTGGAGATCAGTTGTGTTCTACATGTCCGATCGAAGCCATTTTGGAGTAAACTTAGAGACGAGATTGGGGTAATGAAGTTTGCAGATGTGCCGTTTTAGGTCAAGGAAGTCTTGATTTTATATGGAGGCGTACGATTCGCCTTCAATACGACGTCGTTGCGGTTGTTCGACGCTTTAAATTCTTGTCATGTCATCGCTTACGTGTTAGGCTAGGTTTATGTGGCAACGTTAACCGGCTACAATAGGTAAAATGGACTATATTGTTAGGTAAGAAATACTCCGTTCCCTTATTAAGCCACAAAATAAATTAAGTGGCTAAATGAGTCAACCCTAGAAACATTATAGGGCCTATACGTCATTTTCCCTTTTTTTTACTTGCATTTAATGTTGTAAAACCTCATTTTTTTTATTTTTTTATATAAAATTTAAAAAATAAAATACTAATTTTGTAAAAGTAATTATAAAAAAAGTTTGGGCTACTATTTCTCAACTCTTTACATATCGGAAAAAGATAATCAAGTTGTCGGCGTTCCATATAAGATTCACGAAAAAAGCGAGCTAAGTTCAATGGTATTTTTCTAAATGAATTGAAGGTCACATTTTTAATATATATATATATATATATATATATATATATATATATATATATATATATATATATATATATATATGTTTTTGACATTTTTAATAGATTTTTATACATATATATATATATATATATATATATATATATATATATATATATTTTAATAAAATTACGTGTCCGACAATTTAATGATAAAGAAATCAATAAAGTTATGTTACTAACAATTTTTTATAACTTAGTTTTTTAATTATTATGTAAAAACGAATAAGTGAAAATGAGTTTTTTCAAATGTACTGCAAGAGTTGGAAGACAATTTTAATTCAAATAAGTGTGAGAAGACAGGAAGACAATTTTAATTTATATTGATGATGAAGTGACATGACCAAAAACGTCAAATTAAATATATTAATAAAATAAACAAACCAGCTTATCATCAAATTAAATACATTAATTAATTTTGGATGCTTAGTGGGTATAATTGACAATTTTTATGGAACAAATCGAATAATATGATATTATGTGGGTGGTGCTAAAAAACTCTCCTTAGACCGAGAGTATGTGGGAATGATCTTCCATTTTTTTTTTGCCTGCAACGTTAATATTTTATTTATTTATTATTTTCATCAAAACTCAGGGTGTGTATGGTGCCACATTAATATTTTATTTATTTATTATTTTCATCAAAACTCAGGGTGTGTATGGGAAGAACCTTTCATTTTTTTTTAAACATATTTCATACAAATATTATACTTATTTTGTAGGAAATTAAAAACTATGATGATTTGATATATTTTTTATAATTTTTTAGTAAGTATATAATTTAATAAATATTAAAAAAGCCTGAACAAAATACTGACCAACCACACAAAGAGAGAGAGAGAGAGAGAGATTCCTGTTACTCTTTTCCCTCACTCGCTGTATGGTGTTCCAGAATGGGAGAACATTTCTTTCATTTTTTTTTCCGCTGCACACCCATCGGTCTTAGAGGGTTTAATTTACATTGTTTTATGTATTTGACAAACCTCATTAAAATGTCTAATCAATTACTATATAATTAACTATTTTAGTATTTGGGTCCTACTAATTAGACTCCATATTCACTTATTGGACCTCAACTATTATGAGTTTTCAGCTTTTTCAGACCTTGAGAATTGTAATTGCTTACTTTTTAATTTCATCTATTTTTACAATACAAAACTGTAAATTTGATCCCTGTGGTATTCAAAAAACTTTGGATAGGGTTCAAAAAGTTTTAAACTTGCATGGACCGTCCAAAATCAAGAATTTAGTGTGATTTTAATCCAAAAAAACTTGAAAAGACGGTTTTGCATTTTATTTTATTTTTTGTATTTTTTTATAATCATTCTAATACTTTTTTACTTAAAAAAAAGGAATTATCCCCCACCCCCACCGTTCTCTCTCTCTCTCTCTCTCTCTCTCTCTCTCTCTCTCTTCAGTCTTCCCCCATCTTCCTCACCTCACCTCACTTCACCTGCAATTTAAACTACATACACACATTGTTTACGCAACATTGAAGCTTCCATGGCACCATGAATCATCAGAATACAATCAGAATCAGAAATATCGACACCTCCTTGGTTCACCTGCATATGAGTTTCATAAACACCACCTGTCATCTTGATTTGAGATAAGTGACACGAACAAGTAGGCTTTGGGGGCATCATACTTGTTCATACCTGCTGCTTATCATCACTGGTGGTGGTGAAAATGAAATCCAACATTTTATTAATATTCTCTTCATTCACTTGTCTCTTCTTCCCAGGAACATCATCTTCAGAACCAGAAAAGTAGTTAGGAGGATGTCGTACATGAGCAATCAACCAAGAAGAAGAGAATAGAGATTCAGGAAAGGATAATATTACCTTCCACGTTTAGTAATGACGGACACGACATCGAATGTGAGGAATTAAGGTCCAATTGAGGGTTTCCAAACCCTAATCACACCTTAAGCATCATCGGAACAATCCTGTCATCACAATCATAGCTTCTAGTCACCCCTTTCTCTCTCTCATACATACTACCGTATACCTGAACACACTCGTGAAGTAGTCATCGACGATCATATGCTATGGGTTTCTTCTCTCGCCTCGTTCTAAAGAAGAACCATCTCTGGATACAGAGCCTTCTTCACCCCTGCTGATGTAATAATCGTTCATGGGTTGCTGTAATAACCACTTCATCTTTTTCAACACATTCATACACATACAACACAATAAACACACACACAATGATATAAAACCTAGAAATTGATGATGAAAAACTCACAGCCCTGCAAATCTCGATCCAAATGCAGATTCAGATTGAAAGAAAAGCTTGTAGATATGGGTTTTTGAAAAATGGTGGCGGAAAGAAATAGGAGATGGTGGGATGCTTCATCTTGGGGTAGGCTTCACTTTTGAACTTCTTGTTCTTCAATTTTTTTGCCTACAGACTCTAGTCCGGCCCACACCTTTTTCCAGAAATATCACCCTTGCACATACAACATATCAAAATCGAACACACATACAATTGGGTTTGATTTTCTTACTTCTTCCAGATTTTAATAATCATTTCACAACTGGTTCTTGTTTGAAAACTCATATTGATGAGAATCAGAACAAATTGAGAAAAAGGACGACCAAGAGAAAGAGAGAGGGGGAGAGAGAGAGAACGGTGGGGTGGGGGATAATTCTTTTTTTTTTAATTAAAAAGTATTAGAATGATTATAAAAAATACAAAAAAGAAAATAAAAGGGCAAAACAGTCTTTTCAATTTTTTTTTGGACCAAAATCATAGGAATTTCTTGATTTTGGACCTTGCATGCAAGTTGAAAACTTTTTGGACCATATCCAAAGTTTTTTTGAATACCATAGGGACCGATTTTGCAGTTTTTGTCATTTTTACAATTGAAGTCACTACCTCGAAGCCATTTTTACTTTTTCAAAAAATTTTGAAGGTGGGTGTCTTGTTGATACTAAAACTTATTTAATTTAATACCAAAATTTATTTCATTTCATCCGGCAATAAAGGAGCATATGGATTATCATTTTAATTTTAAAAAAATAATAATAAACCATCATATTTTTATTTATATAAAATCGAAACATTATTAACATAAAAATACACAAACTGCAAGTTATGGATTATCATTTGAATGCTTTTAGTTGATAGTGACTTTTGTACATAAATTATATATAAGTACTTTATAATATATTTATAAAAAATGATTTTTATAAATTGTATATAAATAATATAAAAATATATATAAAAGCTGTTTTATTTTAAATGTTTGATAACAAAAATATATTTCATTAAATATATTTTAGTAAAGTTTGTGATTAAATAGATTTAAGTAAAATTTATAATTTGTATATTAAAAAAAGGTTTCATCATTACTCCATAATTAATTAATAATTACATAAAAACTCATAAAGTAAAAAGGTTATCATTATATTATAATGATAATATTTAAGAAAAAAAAAGTTTAATGATTAGGGTCATTTTAGATAGTAGAGAGGGTCTATTTAGATGGACTCTAGTTTTAATTTATTTTTTTTTATAATATTTATTTTACTTATTTTGATTGAAATTTTATAAAAACTTTTTATATTTTCTATTTTGTCTCGGTAGATTTTTGATTTCTTACTTCATCGATACACATTTTCAGTCTTCCATAATTAGTTGAGTAAACTTGAAGACGCAACTTTTTAATGAGTTATAAAGTTGATTTTGTTTAAAATATAAATTAAAAAAAAAACTTAAAATTTTTATATTTGTAAAATGATTAAATTAAAGTTTTAGTTCCAACAAAAAAGGTGATGTTATTTGATAGCCGTTTTCGTCATTTTTTATCATAGGTTTATATACATAAATAAAAAAAACCTGTTTTTTTGTTACCGAAGTCCGATAATTCGGTTTTAATATTTCGCTGGATCAGCCTACGTAAAATATTCCTATACTGTAATAAAACATTATTAAATTGTATAAAAAAAACTTACGGATTCGGATTATCTAATTTTTTAAAAGTTGGTTTGATATAAACGAACAAAATATTAACAAAAATAAACAAAAAAGTTATGAACGAAAACTAAATAAAAAATAACATTAAATATATATTTTAATAAAATTTTAAAAAAATTAAAAAAATAAATATAAATAATTAATAAATAATAGTAATATGATTGATAATATAAATTTATAAAATTAACAAGAAAATATAAAATATAGTAATGATGGTGAAGTCACTTGAGAGGGTTTTTTTTAAGATTGATTGGGTACAATATTGCGAAGATTGGCTTACCTAGGACTACTGTAAGTCATCATGTTTTCGTCATCTACGTCATCGTTCATCCGTCATATCATTTGCATCACATCTGACACGAATCCAAACCGGAGACTCTCTATTTAATTCAATGGCTATAAAAACTGATCGACACGTTAGAAACTCATATATCTCCAACAATGGCTGCCAACACCAAAAGATTACTTCTAAGTGACCTAGTTTCATCCGATAAGATCGATCAAGTCCCCTCTCACTACATCCGTCCAATCTCCCAACGCCCCAATCTCCAAAACGTTTACCATAATGATCATACCATCCCTCTCATTGATCTCCACGATCTTTATACTCCCAATCGCTCTCATGTCGTCCATCAAATTGGTCGAGCCTGCCGCGACTATGGCTTCTTTCAGGTCAAGAACCACGGGGTACCGGAATCCACCGTAGCCAACATGATGAATATCGCAAGAGAATTCTTCAAGTTGCCAGAAGAAGAGAGGCTCAAGACATACTCCGACGACCCTACAAAGACAACAAGACTATCCACTAGCTTTAACATCCGTACAGAAAAGGTTGCTAACTGGAGAGACTTCTTGAGACTCCATTGTCACCCGCTACAGGACTACATCCACGAATGGCCCACCAACCCGGAGTCTTTCCGCGACCATGTGGCGGAGTATTGCCGGAGTGCAAGAGGGCTAGCACTCGTACTTGTTGAGGCTATTTCGGAAAGCTTGGGGCTTGAAAGAGATTATATCAACAGACAATTGGGGAACCATGGACAACACATGGCTTTGAATTACTACCCACCATGCCCACAACCAGATTTGACTTATGGTTTGCCTGGACATACTGATCTTAATCTCATCACCATTCTTCTTCAAGATGAGGTCCCTGGTCTCCAGGTTTTGCGAAATGGTCACTGGGTTGCTGTTGATCCTGTTCCTAATACGTTCATCATTAATATTGGTGATCAAATTCAGGTGCTGAGTAATGATAGATACAAGAGTGTTCTTCATCGAGCTGTGGTGAACTGTGAGAAAGAACGGATATCTATACCAACGTTTTACTGCCCGTCTCGTGATGCAGTGATAGGTCCTGCTTCAGAATTGGTAAGTGATGATGAACCTGCTGTTTATCGGCAGTTCACATATGGGGAATACTATGATAAGTTTTGGAATCGAGGGCTTGCAACTGAGAATTGTTTGGATATGTTCACCCTGACCTCCTCATCCAGTTGATAGTGTAGAACTTTTTTCGGTTTATGATTTCCTTAAGGATGTTTGGGATTATGGGATAGTGTTTCAAAATAAAAAAAAATAGCTTTTAGTAAAAATGTTTAGCAGTTATACGGCAGCAACATGAAATTTTAAAAAAAAATGTTTGATTTATCTTATGTGATGTGTATTTGGCAAAAGTAAGATTGTACAAAAAAAAATTGGACTTATAGGGAGGTTCATAATGATATTATGATCTTTTTGACTTTTTATCTCAAAACCTCATAAGGATTTTAAAGAAATTACCAGGGAGTGCCTAACTAGAAAACCCCTTATTAAAGATGTGCAAAAGGCATTTTGAAAAATTATTTTCATAAACCAAATATTATTTTGAAACACACTCCCAGACACCCTTAAGTACTCTTGTGATATCATCTTTTACATTGTTTATAATGCATAAACTCGTTTTTAGGCAATATTGGCGAAGGTTGTATATTCACATTCCATTTTCCTTTTTCCTTAGACAAGAAAAGAAGCAAGGAAAAGTAAAATGTGAAGGAACAAGAGTTGGAAACCACTACTCTAAAATCTAGAAATACTCACGGATTTCCTTTGGAATATGTTTTCCGTTAGAAATCCATCACTATTTCGTCGGTAATTACCGACAGATAACCTATAGATTTTTATTATTTTTAATTTTTCGGGCACCGAACGTCATTTTCTCGCTTTGTTCTTTTTTTCGCTTTGTTTTTTTTTTCACTAATTTATAACGATTAATATTGTTCATAAAGTCTTGTACACCTTCGGGATTCATTACTCATTTCAATGTTTTACATTGTAATGTCTATTAATATTTGTGATTTTCGATACACATACACACATATTAATACACATACACATACACATACACACATACACATATATACATATATACATACACACACATACACATACACACATACACATATATACACATACATTGTAACATACCAAAAATACTTAGTAAAAATTTTTATTTTAATTAAGTCAAAACCATTCATTCATTATCTCAAAAGACGATGAGAGTAAAAGTATTCTCAAAACATCAGAGTAAATCATAAACAATCATTGCAGAATAAAGCTTCAGGGGATGCAGTGTCATCAAGTCGTACCCTTCCTTTTGAAACCAAAAGTACCTGAAAATATTTAAACACAAAACCGTAAATACAAAGTTTAATGAGTTCTCCAAAATACCACATATAATATAGGGCTAGGAAATATGTACCATAGAGAACCAGCCAATATGTTACCAACCGAACCAATAAAATCGGCAACCAACTTGTTTGGTAGCCAATATGGTTGACCGGTAATACCATGTCAATTAAGTAGTCTTGGTATGGTAACAGTATAAAATTTTGAATACCAAGGTTATACCGTACCAACAAATATATATATATATATATATATATATATATATATATATATATATATATATATATATATATATATATATATATATATATATATATATATATATATAAGGTCCAGTTCCTGTGATGACTCATTTTAAAGTGAGGACTCGTAAGAACACCTTAAAAAATTGAAAAAAAATCTTAAAAATATGCAAATCATAAAATCGAGCATATATCTATGTCAGAGAGAAAAAAAAATTGAAAAAAAAAATTGCATCATTAAAATTGATCCGTGATTCAATTTCAATTTTTTATGTTGCATGATTATGATCCATGATTCAATTTTAATGATCTAATTTTTTTTCCAATTTTTTTTTCTCCCCCACATAGATCCTTGATTTTATGATTTGTATTTTTTTATATTTTTTTTCAATTTTTTAAAGATGTCTTCACGAGTTCTTACTTTAAAATGAGTCCTCACCCGATCCTGTTTCTATATATATATATATATATATATATATATATATATATATATATATATATATAGGGTGAGGTTCAATAGAGAACCATAATTAACCAATGAACCAATCTTTTTTTCAACTTTTACAACTTATTTTTTTATCAAAACAAAAAAACTAAAAATACAGAAATTCATAACTTTTTATCCTTTTTCCAATGATATCAAATTCGATTTTTTTTACGTCAAATTCACAATGTGAATATTTGAAAATTCACAACGTGAATCCGGATTCACACGGTGAATCCGAAAAATATTTTTCACATTCACAATGTTAATATATGAATTTAGATATTTTTAGATTTTTTTTTTCGATAAAGAATAAGGTCTAGAAATTGAAAAAAAGATTTGGTTCCTTGAGGAACCAATAATTATGGTTCTCTATTGAACTTTTCCATATATATATTATATATATATATATATATATATATATATATATATATATATATATATATATATATATATATATATCACTAACAAATCTTTGAAGTTACAAAAACATAATTACATGAATGACAACTCTTTTCCTACTTATTATTTTTTGATTATCACGTGATCTGCCATACCAAAAGAATTACTTTACAGCACAACTCTAAAAGAGTGAACACAATACTAAAACAAGAGATGACCACAACAAGTAGACAACTTCATGTCACATTCATGTTTAGCTTATCAAGTGCCAAACTTTTCAAATATATTATTAGTTAAAAATTTTGATATATACCAATACCAATATTTACCAACCAAATTTGTTGGTAGGCAATTTAGTTGGTACCAAGTATAATGGTACTTAAATTCTTCTGTCAGCTATAGTTGGTACGGTACACGGTTTGAAAGAAAATAACATGGTACATTACCAATTCCACCCCTAATACAAAATATATGTATATAACAACACGTAGTTGTGACGGGTCTGTATCATCCCCAGGGTCTGTATCAACCCTGAGTCTGTAATGACTCTATATAACAACATGTAGTTGTGTCGAGTCAGTATCAACCCTCAGGTTCGTCTCAACCCCGAGTCCATAATGATTCTATATAACAGCACGTAGTTGTGTCGGGTCGGTAACAACCCTCGGGTCTATTTCACCCCACACACATAAGCACACAGGCATATTAGCATGATTCACAAAAACAACAAGTACATACAGGCATATCAGCAAGTGTCACAAAGACAATTATCATCCTACAAACATAATCCAGTGGGTCGGCATTTGTGTCTTCGACCCACGAGTACAGTGAAGAGACTCACCTAAACCACTCAATAGAAGCCCAACAGCTATCTCAGCAAATGAACAGCTAACTGAAACTTCCTAACACCAAACCGAGACCAAAACTTAGTCAAATACTCAGCTCTACCCAAGTTTGACCAAAAGTCAAACTATTCAAAAAGTCAACGGTCGAAGTCAACAACCTATAATGTCAACTATTCAACCTCAAGCCATGACCGGCCCTTAGTCACGTCGTGAGAGCCTACTCGGTCCAATTCCAACTCGTCTCAACTCAACTCAGCCAACTCATACATGAAAAATCACTAGAGCTAACCTCACGACGTGAGCAACCTTCAGTCACGTCATGAGCCCCAAAAGCTTAGCAGAAAACAGGGTCTTCCATTCTCACGTCATGAGACCTTATGTCTCATGTCGTAAGCACAGTCTGAATCCAAAAACCAAAGATTTAAGTCCTTAATCCATTAAGCCTTTTCCTCTAACTTTCCAGAAGGTCTTATAACTCCATAATACACTTAAAAGTCGATGCTTTATGGACGTGTATGTCCAATACATGTCTAGTTATCATTTGGGACCAAAAATGTAGAGAAAGACATCTAACTTTCATGGAAAGATTCAAAACCCAACCATTCGCTAGATCTAAACTTCATGACACTCTAAGGACCCTTACAACCCATAAATTTGCCAACTTTATGGTTTCCATTCATTCAAACTTACCCAATAAGAAGAAGAATGGGACAAAACTTAGATCTAGCCATATGCATGTCGCAACTAGCATTTTCGGCTAGGAAATTCTGTCTACCTGTAATCAACTCTTGTATAATTTGTAACTTTAAGTTGATAGTATGCACTATGCTCATTCAAAATCAACCATTTGTATCAAAACTCACTCGTGTTGTTCAAAACCTAATTCAAAACATCTCATATACTCAACTGTACGTTTGAAACCCTAATATCCCGGTTCAAACTCAGAATGGACCAGGATCCTTTTATTGGGCCTATTGGGCCAAAAAACTTTCAAGTTGGGTATGTTGGGCCAAGGAACCCTATTTGGGCACTAATTGGACCCATTTTCCTTAAACTATAACATTTTAGGCCATAAGACTTTTACGGGCTTTATTGGGCCTAAAATGACTCACTTCATTTTCATGGGCCTTTATGGGCCATGAACAACTCTCTTGAACATTATTTGGGCCATAAACCCCCTTTCTTTATCATTTTGGGCCGTAAACCCTTATATAGGCCCAATGGGCCGAAAACCTTCATAGTGGGCAGCATAATTTCGAGCATATTCAAAAATGGCCGAAACATTTCTTTCTTTTTTCCTTCCCTCCCACTCTCGGCCATATATACAAAAAAAATTAATTAACATAAATGAAGGCTTGCCACCTAATTATTGTTTAGTGGATATATAAGCACATTACCCACCATACAACTATGCATTCCCATATCTCCATGCAACATCTTGTCACTCTCTTCCCCTCCTTCTTATTCTCGGCCAAGACTCATCACCACCTCCCTTCACTTTAAATCTCTTAAAACACTCTCTAAGCACAAAAAAAATCCCAACCTTTACTCTCTCAAACTTTCGTGAGTTAGTATGAGTGCATCAAGAGCTCTTCATCAAAATCCATCAATTCTTGGTAAGCTACTTTCTCATCAAGGTGTTTAACTTCACATTCATGTTGAACTTACTTCTATTACACTCCATTTCATGATCTATGTTCCTTAGAAACCTCATAAGCTCGAGATCTACTCAAGAAAGCTTGATATGGGCGAAATCTCTTTATTTTCTTCTCCAAAACCGAATCCATCAAACCAATGTGAGTTCATACCCCTTATTTTCGATTTTTACTATGTTTTGGGGGAGAATACAAGTTGTTTTGT